TCTTTTCCCAATAGGTTCATTGAAAACAAAAAAACAAAATCTCATCGATTTCCCTCCACCTCTTTCCCCGCTTCTCCCGCACTGCTGCTTTCGCAAATGAACTTTTCAGGGACCCCGCGTTCAAGCATTTGTTCTTCTACGAGAACAACGGCGTGACTGTACGCGGCGTGACTACATTGAGTCCCGAGGAGAGTCCGAACACGGACAGTCTGCATTTGTCGTACGTGCAAGACGCTCTCATCGAAAACTGCGAGTTTTCGGGCGGCGACGACAATGTCGCAATCATCAACGGCACGTCGCGCGTGCTAATTCAGAACATTGTTGGCAACTCTGGGCACGGAATCAGGTGAGACATTTCTATAACGTAGAAAGCTACACCGCTCTACAGTGAAGTTATGAACTCGCAACCAGCGTAAAGGAACACGTGGGTACCAAACACCAACATATGACTCGCTTTTCCCCACCTGATCTCCCCATTCCACTGCACCATCCTCATCAATCTTTTCCTCTTTCCTCTCGCTCCTTCTCTTTCCCCCCCGCACCTCAAACAACAGCATTGGAAGCCTGGGGAAAGATAAAGACATTAGCTGCGTTTCCGACATCACAGTTCGCAAATCCATCCTTCGCAACACTGCCAACGGGCTTCGCATAAAGACGTGGCAGGGCGGCAAGGGATCTGCCAGGGGGATCCATTTCGAGGACATGATTCTCGAAAACGTTGGTAACCCTATTCGCATCGACCAGTTTTACTGTAACAGCGAGGCGTCTCGTTCATGCGGCACTGCCGAGAATGCTGTAGCAATTGCGGACGTCACGTTTAAAAACGTTAAAGGGACGACTTCTAAAGGGGAAGGGATCAAGCTCGACTGCTCCGATACAGTCCCCTGCAGCAACATCCTTTTATCAGACATCAATATCCAGCCAGTCGAAGGCGGGGAGCCGTTGCAACCGTTTCTCAATAGCGCGTATGTGACTATAGACGGGTCCGTTGTGCCGGAACTGAAGGACGTGAAGAGCAATCCGAGCTCGGGGCTGCTTTCAGCAGTAAAGGAGATGGAAGGGTACTGCTAATGGGCGCAGAGGGAGGGGGTTGGGAAGGGGGGAGGAGGAGGTGGGGGGTGGGTGCAATTGCGGGTCTGCTGACGGGCGCGGTGTGCGGGGGTGCAGTAGATGACGTGAAGAGCAGCCCGAGCTAGGGGCTGCTGTTAGTAGTAAAGGAGATGGAAGGTTCCTGCTAACGGGCGCGGTGGGGGTGTGCATTGGAGGGTCCCGCTAACGGCCGAGGGGAGGGGGGAGGATGGGGGAGGGGAGGGGGTGTTGCATTGGTGGGTTCTACTAACCGGCGTGGTGGTGAGTGATGGGTAGGGGCGGGGAGAGGGGGGGGATATTGGTGGGTTTAGGAAAGAGAAGAGCAGGAGGGGATGCTGTGGCATGCAGATAGCGGCGACAGGAGCCCCGCAAGTCTCCATGCTTCAACCATGTTCTTCTCTCGCGACCACTTGGGGTGGATGCGTTGAGGCGCCAGCACCCGCTTGTGACTTAGGCTAGCATAGACACGAACGTCTTGTCAGAACCTTTCTGACAGCAGCAGCAGCAGCAGCAGTGTTAGCAGCAGCTCTTGGTGTGGGTACGTAGGCGTGCCAGCATCCGCGTCCGTCAGATCCTTTCTGACAGCAGCAGCAGCAGCAGCAGAAGCAGCAGAAGCAGCAGAAGCAGAAGCAGCAGTAGGAGCGACATTCGCTCGCAGCATAAGCATCTGACTAGCGGTAACAGCATGGTTACCAACAACGGCATTAGCTATCAGTGCATAGGGGTCCTACCAGCAGACGCAGGCTCAATAGCAACCAGGGGCGGCAGTAGCAGTAGCAGCAAACTTCCGTGGAAGAGCATATTCAAATAGGTCCAGCACACAAAAGCAACACAAGGAGACCAATCAGGGGCGCAATACTATGCTAAGGGGGTAAGGGACAAGACAAGGGTCAGGGGTATGACTCTATGGTGTCGGGACTTTGAACTGAATGGAATGTATGAGGTTTTGGGGTTGCATGAGGGGTGAGGCAAGCCACCGTATGTAAGGGCATTTTCCTTCTTTTTTTATTGTTCCCTATTGTAAATGTATGGAGTCTGAAAATATTAGTAAAATCTAATTCTTGCATTTTCTCTGTACAAATTCATGATACTCTCGCTTATCTCACCCAAAGTGGGCATTAGAGCGACATTGGTGCCTGAACTCACTGCGGCCCGTCATACCATAGTGGAGAAGAAAGCATGCTGTTGCCGTCTCTGGAAAATTGGCAAGCTGTTTTAATGTTATATGGTGCCCCATCCTACCTTATATGCCAAGGTGCAAAAAACTACCCTTCTAATTATAGAATAGGTAGCTCTTTCCAACGGCAAGTCAGCCAGGTAGGATAGAGGTGGTTGCATCACTAGGCTCACATGCATACATAATCGGCAGGCCGGGTCCGCAGCTTCATTTGGCACACGGAGATGAAATGGCTGCGCAATACCCGGCGTGGCGTGCACTGAAGCTAATACCGCATAAGCAGCAATGCGTGTAGCAACAAATGAATAATATTGGAACGTGTTCAAATTAGAAGAAACGTTTACATGTACAGCACAGCGGGGAGAACCAAGCTAGATACAAGTACGTATTCCTTTGTTAGTATTCTTGCCAGCCTCAGCAAAGCACGCCCGCCATCATGTGTTTGAACTCGGTATAATCAACCTTGCCATCCCCGTTAGCGTCCACCCTGGCGATCATTTTATGGCACTCCTCCATCGACATGGCATCACCGCTGAGCATCTCAATCGCCTTCTGAAGCTCTTCCGCGCAAATGGTGCCATTCCCATCACGATCGAATAGCTCGAAAGCCCGCCGCAACTCGCTGTCCTCAGATGTCGGTGATGCTGTCTCCTCTCCGGATTTCCTGCTGGATCTGCACGCGTCGCAGCCGCTAGAATCGGGAGAGCGCCACAAGAGGGAAGAATTCACAAACTCCTCGAAGTCAACTAAGCCGTCGCCGTCAACGTCTGCTGCCTGAATCAGTTCGCTGACGGAGGCGCAGACGGTTTCCGTCCGACTGAGTCTTTCGAGAACCATCGCAAGCTCCGCTGGGGAGATTTTTCCGTCGCCGTTTATGTCGAAAACGCGGAACGCGTTCAGAGCGTCTTGTCTTTGGGATGGAGTTAAGGCATGCTGGCGCTTCCCGTCGCGAGTTCCTGCGCATTGGCAAGGCGGCGAGAGCTTACTCTTGGACATGGTTGCGGCGTCTGATTACCGAGTTATGCAGGCGTGCGATCTATGATATGCGCAGATGTGGTAAAGGCGCAGGCTCACAGAGCTGCTAGAGACTTGACCGAAATGTGTGAGAGAACGATAAACTCGGTGCAGTCCTTTCTTCGACGGCGGATGATGCATCTATGTCGTTGCACGGGTGATTTTCCGACAGTACAGTTGCGTCTTGGTCTGTAGCGGGATGGGATGGAAAGTGAAAGGTGCCTTCCCACCATGAAGGAAAATGGGCCTCTGGGCATGAAGCAGAAAGGTCAGAGACTGAGAGACATGAAATTTTCAGCGTGGAGGGAAGGGAATGGAGGGAACCCACTCGTGCCAAAAGAACATTGGGAAATTGACATCGCGGCTCGCTCGTGCGAATCGACCGACATTTCATTGAAATGAGGTTTCAAAAATTGCATGCGCTTTGGGGTGGCTCAACGGACTGCAGTCCAGCGAATTTGCGAGCGTCGCTGTCAAGCCCCGCGAACCAACGACAGGGAAGTTGATCCAATCCAGCACGTTCGCGACGGTTTCATTCTCTAGCGAAACAGCTTGGGAAACCAGAGGCAAAGCGTTGTGGTTAGAAACGTTTCGTGATTGACTACTGTTACACAGCCAAGCGAATCCTTACAGGTGGAGCTTACAGTGATATATACGCTTATCGATGTGCTTGTATGAAGTACAATGTGGTCATTCTCATCCTCTCCCTTCCAGCCAAACTGCCAGTTCCTGTCGTTTTCGCCCCCCCTTTTCCCCACTTTCCGATAATTCTTTGTTCAGTCAGATCTAATGGCGGTTATGAATCGCTGGTGCTTTGCACTGATGCAGTAAGAAAAGTTGCTTCTGCGCGGTCCGGTTCCAAAATGCGGTTAAATCCACCCCTTGTGAGCGGAGACGCATCGATATCAGCATCACCCGTAACCACCTCCCCCCGACGAGAACGCTTGGGGTGCATAGCGTTGCAGTCAACAGAATCGAGCAGCGGACAGCCGAAACAGATTATCGTGCGGCGAAATGGGCCAACCTCCGCGAAAGCCACTCGGCGCTCGCGGCAGTTACCCGCAACAGATTCGTGCGGCGTTACCGCGGAAAATATCAGCCCCTAGCTGTCGTTCGTCGGATGATCCTGCGAGCGAGTGCAGGCGAGGCGACTCGCCGCTGCTCACGGTGTTGGGAAATGGAAATGCATCGAGCGCTGGAAGAAAGGCAGGGGGGTTGAAAGAGGTGCCAGCGAAGATAGCGATGCGACTCGATGCGCGTGGCAACTTGCCAGCAGATGTCGTCAAGACAACTGCGTGCCGAGTCTTCAAGACTCCCCAAGTTGGGGAGGCTCCTCGTGTGCTCGCTACAAAAGGCACATCTGCTGAGGCGAGATCTCAGTGCAGCCGTGCAGGAGAGCGGGCCGAAATTAGTCAACCGCGTTTAGATTCCGTGCAAGATTTTGCTTATCTGAGAACTCTCTTGAAGGAGGAAGTATTTTGTAGGGGGTATTGGAGTATAAGTCGCAGTACGAGCATCCGTTGTTATCACATCCGTCTGTTAGGCGCAAAAGGCGGCCGTCATGGCGATCCTGCAGCGCGCCGAGCTGTGTCTGGCGTCCCTGCTCGCTCTTCTCCTCGTCCTCGTCCTCTCACAGACTGCCACGTGTACCGCTCAGGAGGATGGCACAAGTCCCGTTGCGCTCAGAACCCTCAGATTCGGGCGGCGCAAGACACTCGTGATGCCAGGTGAGAGATCCTCAAGACCTGAGTCCAAACGACGTTTAACCACTCCATCGTGTTGCCTTGCTACTCTGCTGCTCTGCCATTCTGCCAACCTCGCACACCCCTCCTCCCTCACGCAACTCCTTCCCACCCGTCAGGCCTGCCTCCCGTGTCCACGGGGCTGCTACTGCCGCTCACCCCCAACATGTGGGCGTCCATCCGCCGCCGCAACCCCAACTTCCGCCACGCCAGCGTTGGCTTCGTGCCCCCTGCCGCCAGCAACGGCAGTGGCGAGGGTGCGGCCCCGCGGTGGACGTACCTTGACCGCGTTGACTGGCAGCAGCGCCGCATGGTGCGCCCCGTGCAGAACCAGGCCTCCTGCGGTGAGACAACCTATCCCTTCACCTGCCCCTTCACCTGCCCGTGCTTCCCCTCTTCTCCTTCTGTCATCTCCTCCACCATCCCTTGCTCCCCTCTCCCCATGCTCTCTCTTTCTTTCCCTGACCTCCCTCTTTATCCCTCCCAATGTTTTTTGTTCCCAATGCTCCCCCTAACCCAATCAGCGGCGTGTTGGGCGATGGCAGCAGTAGCAGCAGTGGAATCTCTCTACGCCATCGCCACCAACGCGCCTCCCCCGGCCATCTCCACCCAACGCCTCCTCGAGTGCGCGCCCAACACCCTCCGCACCCCCGCGGCTAACGGGGCTGGGAGCGGGAGCAACGACACGGGAGGCGGGGGAGCGTGGCAGGATGGGTGCGAGGGGGGGTGGTCTGCAGAGGCCCTTGACTTCATGGCCTTCACTCCCCTCCCCTCTGCTGCTGCCGTGCCTTTCATCGGAGCGCGGGGAACCAAGAACGCCTCTCGGGCTTCCCTCTGCCTACAGCAGCAGCAGCAGGCGCCGCCGCTGGTGTATGCTGATAACTCCGTGCCGTTCACACGCCGTACCCCTTATGAGGGCCCCTTTAGCATCACAATGTTCGAGGAGACTGGGTTGGAGGGGTACCTGGGGATGATCCTGGCGCTGCAGCGACAGCCCGTGGTGGCTGCTCTAGAGGCGGACCAGCCTTCGTTTATTCAGTACGATGGGGTGAGTATTGGTTGGTGGGTGTTACGATTCCTTATCGCTTTTTTTTGCACGCTTCTTGACTTTCTGTTTCCCCCTCCTTTGTTACGATTCCATATGGATCTCTCCCCCCTTTTTCCTTCCCCTTTTTCCGTCCCTTCACCCCCCCCGCCCCTCCCCCTCCTTCACCTACAGTCTTTCGTCTACTCGGACCCCTCCTGTTTCCTCAACGGCCTCGTGGACCACTCTGTACTCGTTATAGGCTACGACCTCACCGACCCCACACCGCACTGGATCGTTCTCAACAGCTGGGGTTCCTGGTGGGGCCGCTGGGGCGTCATGCGCCTGGCCATGGCAGGGGGGGACGGCATCTGCGGAATCCACTCCATGCCGGCTCTCTATCCGGTCATTACCACCCCCGATCCGTGCTTTCCCATCAACCCCTGTGGCGGGGGCAAGTGTGCTGCGGACCCGGGGACTGGGAGGAACACGTGCGAGTGCCCGGAGGGGTTCCGGGTGACAGTTAACATCGATGGGTCACAGTCGTGTGCGCTGGGTGAGTTGAAGGAGGAGTGCAATTGGGTGCAGTTGTGTAGGTGAAGTCTGTAGTGAATCATCTTGGTGTGGGACGGGTGCGCCTGTAGTGCCTCATCTTCCTCCACCCACCCCCACCCATCCCACCCACAGCCCGGCAATGTGGGTTCTCCATGGTGAATCCGTGTGACACGGGCACGTGCATCGACAGCACCACCTCAGGAAGCTTCCCTCCCACAGCATCCCCTTTCAACCTTTTCTCACCCACTGCCCTCTCCCTCCCTTCCCTTATTCCCCCCTCCCTCTCCCTTGCAGCGCGGCGCTGTGGATTCTCCATGGTGAATCCGTGTGACACGGGCACGTGCATCGACAGCACCACCAGCCCGGGCGGCTACACCTGTCTCTGCCCGCCGCCCACCCAGCGCACCAACAACACGGACGGCACACAGACCTGCGTCGTGCCCCCCCCACCCGCCCCTGTCAACTACTGGGACACCCCTGGCGCTGGTGGTGGTGGCGGCAGCAGCAGCAGCAGCAGCAGCAGCAGCAGCAGCAGCAGCAGCAGCAGCAGCAGCAGCAGCAGCAGCAGCAGTGGGGCCAGTGCAGGGGTGCGGCGAGTGAGAGTGGTGGAGGGGATGACGTGTGGCATGCTGGCGCTCACCTTCCGCATCACAGTGGAACAGCTGCAGCAGACCAACCCTGTAAGCCCACCCATCCTGCTAACCACCGTCTCTTATTCCCGACGCTTCTCGTCTCACACATCCCCCGCCAGATTCCTGCCCTGATCACTCTCCCTAACCCCTCTCTCGTGCCGTATGTGCCCTCACTGGCTGCCACAACAGGGCATGGACTGCAGCAAGCTGGAGGTGGGAGCCACCGTGACAGTCAACACCACAGCAGCAGCCACTGTCTGCTCGCTCTCCTATGCTGCCTCGCTGGTATGCTTTCTGAATACCCATCATGAACCTCACACAGGCGTGTCTGTTTTCCAATGTGAGCCGACCTTCTCCAAGGTGTCTAAGACGCGACTGACGGTGGGTGTTGCATGTGTGCAGGGGGACACGTGTGCTTCGATAGTGGACCTCTTCAATACAAGCACAGCGGCTCTCCTCGCCCTCAACCCCCAGCTCGACTGCACCGTGCCCTTCTCCTCCACCCAATCGGTACTTGCGCTGCTCTCCAGCCTTCCCTCTCTGCTCTCCAGCCTTCCCTCTCTGCTCTCCAGCCTTCCCTCTCTGCTCTCCAGCCTTCGCTCTCTGCTCTCCAGCCTTCCCTCTCTGCTCTCCAGCCTTCCCTCTCTGCCCTCCAGCCTTCCCTCTCTGCTCTCCAGCCTTCCCTCTCTGCTCTCCAGCCTTCCCTCTCTGCTCTCCAGCCTTCCCTCTCTGCTCTCCAGCCTTCCCTCTCTGCTCTCCAGCCTTCCCTCTCTGCTCTCCAGCCTTCCCTCTCTGCTCTCCAGCCTTCCCTCTCTGCTCTCCAGCCTTCCCTCTCTGCTTTCCCCCTCTACCTTTCCACTCTTGTTCCTCCCTGCTCTTTGTTACTACCACATGACCTCCTCACTTACTCCCATCACACGTGGTTACTCCCTTTCCCCCCATCCCATTCCCCATCAGATCTGTGTGGCGGCAGCATCAACCCCTCTCCCCCGCCGCTGTGCGCGCTGGTACACCCCTCAGCAGGGCGACACGTGCCCCTCAATCATGCGATCCGTGGCCTCTCCCCCCCTCTCGCCCGCACACTTCATCGCTCTCAACCCCGGCCTCTCCTGCTCGCTCCTGGAGCAACCCAATGCTACCACGGACACCGGAGTCCAGGTGGAGACCAGGGGGAACAATGCGAAAAATGGTTTCCTTGCAGCAGGACTGATGTTTTGTTACATACTATCATTGCAGGCTTTGTAGGAACGAGACATTTCATTGCTACTTTCTCTTGTTTCATTCTTTCGTTTCCCAGGTCTGTGTGAAGGCGGCTCCCAATTGGACGGGAGCGAGTAACTGCGTGACAAATGATCTGTACTATGCCACACGAGGCGATACATGCGCTCGCATAATATCGGTATATTTCCGCAACAGTGCACGGCTTATGGCCCAGTACAATTACGGCGTGGTTTGCAGGAACATTCTGTTTGTTGGCATGCAATTCTGTCTTCCTCCGGCGCGGAATTCCTGGCTCTATCCTTGACCTGTTTGGCAAGCCATAATAACTAGCATGCAATGCATTTGTTGCACGTATGGCTGTGTAAGTTCATGAATAATGATATTTTTACGGATAATATGCCAATTTTTTATTACTCGTCTCCCGTATGTCAAACAAGTGTTCGAGCAAAATATACCACGAAGACTTTTAGTTTCGAAGCACCCATACCAAAGCACATGCCTTGACTGTCACGACAAGCGAGACTTTCGCGCCATCGCATCGCTTCCCATCGCATCGCCACATACATTCCGCTCCGTGCAGTACTGGCGCTCCCCCTAAAACTGCGGGAAAGCTGCTTCGCCAGCTTCGCAGCAGCTACAATCCCAGCTTGCTCGCCACGGAACGACAAGCTCACTCGTGAGAGCGTATCCCGAAAGTTCGCAACTCTGCAATCGGGAAATTTGATTGGATGAGCGGTTGAGTAGCGAATGTGCTCGAAGAAGGTAACCCGAGTAGTCTCACATCTCCACCTACCGGCTGAATGCTTCACATCACAACTCACGTAGAAAGGGGGTGGCGAAACACCATTCTGTCATTCTCAATTTTCTTATCAACAATAGTTCCATCACCCGCAAAAGCTCTCAAGCTGGTTCTCTTGCTGTGACAACAGAATCATCTCTGCGTTTCCAGTACTAGTACCCGTGCTATTCTCAAGAATCCTGAAAGCAATTGGCACGTCTGCTTTCGTTCACCCCCTCTCCCCGGCCAACTTAATCCCCGTTTCGACCAACTCTGTTCCACACTTGGAACTAAACAGAAACTCTGCTAGATATCCTTGCCGACCCCTCGCGCATGGCCCTCCAGCAGCACGACATCGTCGCGTCAGCATCGCGAAACACCCGCTCGAGCCATATCCTCCAGATCGCGTCCTCCTCGTTCCGTCGCGAGGCCGCGCGCACCTTCGAGACGATCGACCTGGACAAGGACGGCAAAATCTCTGCCCTCGAGCTCGCGACTCTCCTAGCCCGCCTGGATAGTAGTAATACTTCTGCTGAGACGCAGCCTGGACGGCGCGGTATTCCGGCGCTCGAGGCGGGAGGCGATTTGATTGGCTTCGCGGAGGATGTGATTCGAGAAGCTGACGTGGATGGCGACGGGATGATTGATTTCGAGGAATTTTTGCTCTCGACGCGCGCAGAGCCGTCCGTTGTCTCCGTTCCATCGTCCGATGATGAGGGGGAAGATGAATCGGACGGTGGGAGTAAATCAAGGAAGGACGTGATTGAAGATGATTTGTTCCGCGCGTTTGAAATCTTTGACCTTGACAGGGATGGTGTGATAAGTGCGGAGGAGCTGCGATACGTGATTGGTGTTCTTAGCGGGGATGATTTGACGACGGAAGACTGCGAACGTATGATAAAGCGGGTGGACGCTAACGAGGATGGATACGTGGATTACAACGAGTTCAGGAAGATGATGGCTGGAAGTTTTTATTGACTCCTGATCTTGTTTTTCAGACAATAACATGTTTGCTTTCACTCGGAGTTTCTTGTACATGCTCTTTAAATAAAAAGATATTAAACCAACTGCACCTCCTGTACAAAGCGTTCTCACACAGCAACACTGTTGCTGTCCTTCCATGCCTGGTGGAATTTCACCGTAGCCAGCAAAGCCGTTGCAAGAACCTTCTCAGCATCTTCCTGGTTGCTTCCAAAAAAGGCATATCGGATGGCGCGACTGTGCAAGCCGCCCATCTCCAGGTGCGGTACAATGGCAATCTGGGCGGCAAACTCCCTCACTGCAGCCTGCAGGCCCGTGAAATCCCACCCCAGTGCTGCTGACTTGTCCTGCCATAGCGACAGGAACTGGGGGGAATGGGAAATGCAGGGCGATGGGAGAGACAGGGCATTGGTGGAGATGTGGTAAGGCCAGTGTAGCCACAGGTTGTGCCAGAGTGTGCCTGACTTGCTGCATTAGAAGAAAAACTGGCTGGTGACAGAGAGGAGAAGAGGAGTGAAGCAGAGACACAGATGCCGGGCACATGAATCACAACCCTCGTCTTCAACACAGCTGCCGAGCTTGCCGCACGTTGAATGAGTCAGCACTATGTGAGAGACGCACCATGGCATTGAAGCACCATGGCGTCACCCATCAGCAGGGCGCGCCTCGCTCCCATAGAGCAGATTCCTAAGGCTCACATGCCATGCCTTTGCCTTGCAGTCATTTCACCATCAGCATCAGCATCAGCATATCAGCATCAGCATCAGCATAACAGCATCAGCATCAGCATATCAGCATCAGCATCAGCATCAGCATATCAGCATCAGCATCATCATCAGCATCAGCATCAGCATATCAGCATCAGCATATCAGCATCAGCGTATCCGCATCAGCATCAGCATATCTGCATCAGCATCAGCATATCAGCATCAGCATATTAGCATCAGCATCAGCATATCAGCATCAGCATCAGCATCAGCATCAGCATATCAGCATCAGCATCAGCATCAGCATATCAGCATCAGCATCAGCATCAGCATCAGCATATCAGCATCAGCATCAGCATCAGCATATCAGCATCAGCATCCGCATCAGCATCAGCATCAGCATCAGCATATCAGCATCAACAAATCAACATCAGCATATCAGCATCAGCATCAGCATCAGCATCAGCATCAGCATCAGCATATCAGCATATCAGCATATCAGCATCAGCATCAGCATCAGCATATCAGCATCAGCATCAGTATCAGCATCAGCATATCAGCATCAGCATCAGCATATCTGCATCGGCATCAGCATATCAGCATCAGCATCAGCATCAGCATATCAGCATCAGCATCCACATCAGCATCAGCATCAGCATCAGCATATCAGCATGAGCATGAGCATGAGCATGAGCATGAGCATGAGCATGAGCATGAGCATGAGCATATCAGCATCAGCGTCAGCATCAGCATCAGCATCAGTATCAGCATCAGCATCAGCATCAGCATCAGCATCAGCATCAGCATCAGTATCAGCATCAGCATGAACATGAGCATGAGCATGAGCATGAGCATATCAGCATCAACATCAGCATCAGCATGAGCATGAGCATATCAGCATCAGCATATCAGCATCAGCATCAGCATCAGCATCAGCATATCAGCATAAGCATGAGCATGAGCATGAGCATGAGCATGAGCATGAGCATCAGCATCAGCATCACCATCACGCACCTTGAAAGTGTCCCCACTGTGTGTGAGCAGCACAGCAGCATTGCCCACAAACTTCACCTTATCATGGAACATGTTCTCACGCCCACCACGCCATGCTTTACCTTGCACGCACATCCCACCATCACCTTGACGCACCTTGAACGTGTCGCCACTGTGAGTGAGCAGCACAGCAGCGTTCCCCACAAACGGCACACTCTCATGAAAGAGAGTCCCCGGCTTCCCCGCCAGCCCATACACCCCATCCCCCGACCGCCCCACCAATCCTATCAACGGCCGTGCCCGCCCCTTCCTGTTCCTCCCCTCCCCCTCCTCCTTCCCTGCTCCTTCCTGCTCCTCCCCCAAGCTTCCCTTCCCTTCCCTCCTGTGCTCCTCCTGCCGCTCACCCACGCCCGCTGTCCTCCCGTCCTGCTGTGAGCCCCCATCCGCGCCAACCCCCCCATCAGCCACCAGGTCGGCAGGATCGGAGGGGAACCAGGTCTGGTTGGCCATGTCAATGCCGGACCGCGTGATCCACTCAAAGGTGTCCGGCCGGGCCAGGCGGGCCAGCCAGTGCTCCACGGGGAGGCTGTGCTGCTCCAGGCGTATGTAGGCGCCGTCCACCAGGGCTAGTACCCAGCGACAGCAGCACGCCAGCTGGCGATTGATGAAGGCGATCTGACGGGAGGGGGGTGGAGGGAGTGTGTGTGGGGGGGGGATGTGGCGGAATAGGGGAGGAAGATAAAGAGAGTTCTGAGATGTCTCAAAAGCCAGGAGGGCTTGCAGGAGGGAAGGCAGCACAGGTGAGATACAACAGATGGCCTTTTTCTCCTGTCAATACGAGGTGCTATACCATGGGCTTTCCACAAGCATGACAAGCTGACAGCATACCCTGTTGATGGTGTTGGGGTCGATGCCTTCGCTTATGAGCATGGGCGTGATGGCTTCTATCGAGTAGAAAGTGTAGCCATGGCGCTGTGCGTACAGCCTGAAGAGGACAGCAGAGGCAACAAAAGAGGCAACACAACAATGCGATGATCGATTGAGAGAGAGACATATGGCATCCAGCTGCTAACGAATCATGGGCACTGCTGTAGTAGCGTACACAGTCAATCAAACCGCCATGTGGATTCTGCCTCTCTGCACGTAAATCCTGATCCATGGCTGCTTTTCTTTCTTTCTTCCTTTTTTAGTAAAAACAGAACCAACTAGTCTTATCCTTATCTGTCTCTCCTTCCTTTTCCCTGCACCCTCCCCTCCTCCCTGCATTCACCACCACCCAGAAATCCCCTTTATACCCCCCTCCGCTCACTGGTTGATGAGCTGCGAGGAGAGCCATGACGGCAGGTGCTTGGCGTTGTCTTCCAGGTAATCCGCGGACGACGTGTCGGCCAGCAGGGATGCGTTGATGCTGCCGCGATCAACGGCCAGGATGCATCGCTGGTTGAGGTGAACGCTGGCTGGCAGGGTGGGGAACGGGAGGGAGTGTGAGGGAGCAGTGCGAGTGCAATAACGTGCAAATTCAGCAACGTTTGATTAGAGTGGCATGAGTCCACAAACCCTAATTTTCCCTGCCATGTGTACCTTGTGTGTCTGTCGCCTTGCTGGAAGGGTTGGTGAGCAACGTCTTGATGTCTCTTAGTGCTGCATCCACGTCCACTGCTTGATCCCTGGATTCTTGCAGCAGCGATTGGAGCTGATGACGTGGCACGAAGGAGCGAGGAGCGGAAAGAGGGGGAGGGGGAAGTATAGCGCGAGGATAGGGGTGTGATGAGGATGGGGAAACACGGTGAAGCTTGAATACCAGGATACGGGGATGCATGATGCTGAAGATACTGTACTGTACCTCTGTACTGTTGCTTCTCACCCATATGATAATGCACTATGATGCAAGAAAGAAGATCCAACGGCCGTTGCTGTTGCGGCAGTATCAAGGAATTCAATGAAGGGACGTCGCACCTCAGCGACGGTGGAAGAGTGGTGCTGATGGAAAGCGACGGCGACGAGGATGGCGAACAGCGACCCGGCGACCATGCCTAGATTATGCCACGTGGCATCGGAGACAGACTTCGATCCTGCAGCCATCGCGACTGGTTTACTAGGCGACAGACGTTTCAGCTCCCACAGGCAAGTTACATCTCAGGGTATTTCACCTGGTTGGCGGACGTATAACGTAAAACCGAGCTTCAATTGTATTACCATTCCACAGAAGACACCTCTTACAGTCTAAGACCGATACCAATGCTGCATATCGTTGCTGATGTCATGGCGTGCTAGAACGGACTTTCTCGTGCTCTAATCGCCAGCATGTTCAGGCGACAGATTCGCGGTCAATTCCTCGTGCTCTTCGAATCCCTGAAGCTGGAAAAGAAGCCATGAATAAGTCATTCCAAGAGCCCATGGGAGCAAATTCCTATACGTAGTCCGAATCTACCTACAGTCTTAGTTGACTGACGACGACGCGTCGCCGCGAAGTCAGGTAGTCATGGATAGCAATGGCAGTGTGCGTTGTCTCGCTTTAGTCGATGTTCGTTTGAAATGGCCGATTCATAAATAGCATACAACACATTAGCCGTAACAATTTCTGTAAACGTACCCAAATATTATACATCACCTACATATCTACCAACAGCCTTAGCCTCATCAGCCATCTTAAGAATGTCAAACAAAACAATGAATGGTGGCACACAATATTATAGTCAAAATCAAACGAGTCTGGTAGGTGTCAAACTCAACCAAACACATCAAAGCGGGAGCCCAAGCGGCAAGACTGAATGGTGAAACGAGGAAACACCCTGCCCAAGCGACACCGAAGATATCCCAGGAGGGAAGAGCAGCGCACACGCCCCCCGTGCCCCACCCGCTCCACCCTGCAAGTTCGGCGCAGCCGAGGACAAAGCTGCTGCAAGCTGAGGCGAGGGGGAGCGAGCGAGGGGCGAGGAACCCCACATGCCGGGCTGAGAGGGCTGAGAGGGCTGCAGGGAGCCGTTGCTCCCATTGCTCCAGATGGAAGCTCCGAGGAGAGAGAGCGACGTGGACATGGGGATAGACATGGATCCTCCTGTGAAGGACTGCAGGCCTGACCCCACTGACTGCCACTTGGTGCTCCTGCATACATCGGTACATGGGGTGGCAGGGATGGGAGCAGCATTGAGCGAGTGAGTGTACGCTTTGATTTATAGAGGGCAGGTCAGATGATCAGGCAGCAAATGACTGAGGGACGGGAGGAACCAGCATAGAGTGAGAACACATTAAAGAGCAGTAATGACTGGCAGAAAAAAAAAATCAAGGGACTGGCAGATAATGAATAATCCAGGTGAGAGAATAAGAAGGACACTTACTCTGCAGCGGATCCCAGCTTGATCGAACCCACAGCAGCCGTGGCACTGTTCTCCTGCCCCCAGATGCTCGCAATAGCAGCCACAGCAGCGTCCGCATCCCCTCCACCCCACGTCCCTCTTGCCGTCCCCACACTCCCCAACGCCCCAACCTCGCTCCCACTCCGCCCCGACACCCCTCCAGCACTGGTATACCCTGAGAAATACCCAGCGGCACCAGAATAGCCTGCTGCACTGCTGGCGGTGTAGCCTGAAGCACTGGAGTAGCCAGAGGTCAGCAGTGGCGACCCAAACGAGGCAGAGGAGGACGCGCCTGCCGCCAAGGCGGAGGCGGAAGCAACAGCTCCCGACGCCCCCCACCCCCATGCTGCTGACTCTACCGATTGCACGCCCAGACTCCCCCCTGCTGCTGCTGCACCCGCCGCGCCAAAGGATGCTACCCCGGTCGACCCGGATAGCCCTAGACCCGACCCAGCCCGCGCTGCTGCTGCGGCGGCCTGCGCCTGCACGTCCGCGTCCGCTTTCTTGGCGCCCGCGGACGGGCCGAATCCCGGAGGCGGGAAAAGGGCTGCGAAGCCAGGGGGAGCGGGAGGGCGGAAGCCAGGAGGGGGGGTGACAGGCTTGGATGGGGCAGTCTTGGGAGCAGGGGCGGACGCAGGGGCAGCGGGGGTAGCGGAAAGGGGAAACGTGGCAGCTGCTGCTGGGGCTACACCCGTCAAAGCCGCAGGCGGCATTGCTGCTACAGCCGGCGCGACCGCTGCTGCCGCTGCCGCTGCTGATGCTGCTGCTGCGGCACCCGAGAAGCGGCTCTGAGACTGCTTGGCCGCGGCGACGATCTCACTGGCGCGCTGCATCTCGTCCGTCGACCACCCCACGCCCACGAACGCCTGTTGCAGCTGCCGCTGCAGCGCCTGCAGCTGCTGCAGCCGCTCCAGCCCGCTCCCGCCGGACGCCGCCCACCCCGCAACAGCGATCCCGTTACAAGCCACCCCGTTAGCGGTAGATAGGACGGGTTTGGAGAGGGTAGCGGCGGACGAGGTGGAGTGCGGCGAGAGCCACGTGGAGAAGGACGGCGAGGAGATGCTGCCGTGGGGGCCGGCAGCGGCGAGCGGGATGGATGAATCGGTGCTGTGCGGTGACGCGGCGTCCCGAATTCTCTGGAGCGACGGAACCGACGTGGATGGCTTGGGCGCAACGGAACGGGCAGGTTCGGGGACCGACATCTGAACCAGGCTGCTCTCGCCTGCTCGACTCTGCGTTTCACCTGCTTTCACCTCACCAGCTTCTGCTGCGGTTGCTTGCGCGGCGGAAGCACCGAGGTCGGCGCGGCCGGGGCTGTTGAGCAGCATTTCTGCGAGCTGGTCGCTCAGGCTGAACCCCATCTCATCGTCCGACGAGCTCCCTCTCCCGCTGCTGCTGCTCCTGCTGCGCCCGCCGCCGCCGCCGCCGCTGCTCTTGCTGCTACCGCTACCACTACCGCTGCCGCTGCCGCTATCGTTTCCGCTGCCGCTGCCGCCAGTGGCGGCGGCGCTGTTCCTCGCGTTGCTCCTGCTCGTGCTCGCGCTGCTGCCAACGCTGGTCGCGCCGCCGTCGCGCGGCTGCTCGTGAGATGCGGTGGAAGGCACGCGAGATGCGGAGTAGGCAGGTACGGGCGGGGGACTGACAGTGCGAGTCGACGCCTTGGCGGAAGAACGAGCGGCAGCGGACGACGCGGAACTCGATACCGCGACATCCGCTGCAGCACCCGCCGAGGTTTGCGGTTGAGGTTGCTGCTTCCTACCCGCCGGCGCAGAACCCGCAGAAGCGACCGTCGCGGCCTTGGCACCCTCGGCAACTCTCCCCGCTTCCTTCCCCTTCTCCCCGCCCGACTCCTTCCGTGAGTCCCTGCTTGCAGACTTCCCCGTTTGAGCGTGACTCGATACGGCGGACGCAGACGGGGCTGCCGTCGATGGCTCTGCCTTAAGCGCGGGCCAAGACGCAGAGGTGGTTTCAACGCTCGGCGCGGCATGGGCGTCAGACGATAAACGCCGTACGCCCGCAGCCGCAGCTGCGCGGCTCTGCGTGGCGTGACTCGAAGCCACGTGGCTCTGCGAGGCCGGCTGCTGAGGCGGGTCGAGCGGTAGGAGCGGCGGAAACGACGATGGCGGGGCTGCGGCTGTGGTTGTGGCTGTGGCTGTGGCTGTGGCTGTGGTTGAGACTGACGCCCATGGCGCTAAGGACGCCGATGCTGATGACGACGACGCTGCTGCGGCTGCTGCTGCTGATGATGACGATGATGGAGGTGGGAATGGTGGGGCGGCTGACGGTGGAACGGCCGAACGAGGCTTCTCCCATGACGGCCCCCTTCTAGGTTGAACTGGAGGGAGCAGGCCAAGGGGAGGGTAGATGGGCACGGCGACGGAAGGATTTTTAAATGAGAAACACGACCCGGGAGAATGATAAGCTAACGGAGGAAGAAGCTTACGCGACGACGAAGTGACTTGAACACACCTGAGAGAGGAGGCGACGACGATAAAGTCGGGAATTCCGACGACGCGAGTATCGGCGGAGCGGGCGACACTCGCGAATGGCAGCGATGATCGCCAGCTCCAAGAATCGACACTCCCAGCGACGCTCCCGCGATCGACGCTCCCTGCTCGGACGCCTTGCTGTCGCCGTTGCGAGAGATTGATCCCCTCCGTTTACCCGACGACGCACCCGTTGCGGTTGGCTGCGGTGGCGCCGCCATTTGCGGGTCGCCGTAGGGCGAGCGGCAGCTGGGACAGATGCCTTTGAGCTCGAGCTTGATTCGCTCGTAGCAGAACAGACACACGCGGTAGCTGAGCGGGGAAAGGAACAGGGAAAACGGAAAGGAGATGTTAAGTGAGAAATGAGGATGAAAAAACGGGAGAATTTGCAGGAAGCAACAGTAACCTAGTAATTTATGAAGCACGACTGTGGTCGCCGCCTTGCGACGTCAGATCCGATCACAACGATAACCTCACCCGAGCCCTGAAGAACAAGGCTGACTCAAACACCACGCTTAGGTCAGATCTGCCTTTCCTATGTCATAAGTTCCGCCGGGACCTACGGTGCGTGGCACTAGAGCCTCACCCGCAGGGACAGGGCCGGAATTGGATCTCCGTGGCGTCGAGCTCTTCAATGCAGAGCGGGCACACGGGGTCCTCGTCCTCCTCCTCTTCCTCCTCGGGCACCCGGTCGTCCCGCACCCGCTCCGCGGCCTTGGCTGTCGTCTGCTCCATGGTCGACCACTCCACGGCGTACGACTTCACCACGCCGGTTCCAGGCTTTCCCCAGGCCATGATTCGTGGGTGATGAGGAGCTAGCGTGAGCGAGCGAGGCTGTGGGAACAGGCAGAAGCAGCGGGTACTGTAGGAAAGCGAAGTGTGACGGTGAGAGGTGGCAGATGTGAAAGAAACTGGAGGTGGGTTAGGGAACTGGTGATTTGGAGGAAAGCGGCACACAGCTTTTGTGATGGCAGGTTGAGCAGGAGAGGATGCAGGGTGGCCTAGTGCAGTGTGGTGAAGGTGCAGATGAAGGGAGGAGATGTCGCCACCAGATCAGATCTACGGATCAGATGCGAGGAAGGGTTGAGATCTGGAGGGGGACCGAGGTCATCGGGGGTGGTGGTGGCGGGTGAGATTGGGGGTTACGCGTTTGGCGAAAAGGCTGTTGTGGTCAGCGAGAGACGGCGAAGTACAGTGCGAACCCGAAAGGCATGGTATGGCAGTGCGAACCCCCCCGGAGGGAAACCTAGGTAATACCGACAGCAACGTTGCGAAGCCACGTGTATAGCACGGTCGCGCGAAGGTTTCTGGACGACCTGTCTTCTGATGGTAACCAGCACTAGCAATTGGCGGCAGCGGGAACATGGAGGCGGGGTTGGTTGGGGCAGGCGTTGGGGTGCGGTGGCTGCATTGACGTGCTGCGGAGAACACACGCGGAGTCAGAAAGCCCGGTCAGAGTTGCCGCCGAAAATGCGAGGGTTTGAGCTTCAAACGAGCAAATCTCGCGCAGGTCGCTACGATATCAAATCGTTGGCACAATTCGCATGAGATGAAGCTTATGCTTGTTATCAAGTTAGACTTTTAAGAAACGCGACGTGTTCTGCTGGTTACCATGATGAGCTTCTCGTGGGTCCAACTTCGCGAAAACGACCCAACCCCGAACTCATCTTTTGGCATTGCGTGGGGAGGGAGAAAGAGAAGTTTAGGCCCGAGGTGGCCAAAATCCCTGTAAATTCACCAATTTCATAAGGTTCCACACAAAGACGAATCTGAAATAAATCAGCATAGGGCTGCATCACACTCACGCGCAGTCTGTGATGCAACGTCTCCAGTTGCTCAAGCAGAGAGATGGACTGGTGCAGCAAAGTTTGCTGGAAGCAAGAGCTGCTCTACCAGCTAATCTTGCTTCTGAACCACCCCCAGAAAACCGTTCGTGGAAAGCAGCATCCATTGACGTTTGCAGCTCCACTGATGACCATAGCCTCCAAAAACCATGGTAATCAGTTGCACAGTAGATACCGGTAAATGATATCTCTTTTAGGATGCTCCAGATAGCACCACCTTTACTAGGTGCCAAGTGCCAGACTTGCTTGATCTTCTTTGTACTTGCTAAATCAAATTAATTTAGCTCAGTAATTTCACTTCGCTCAGATCCCTGAGAGAGTCCCAGATAATTCCAGTGATGATTCCCGCTATGCATATAGAAGACCGTTTTAGCTCAATCTTCGCTTGAATTCGTTCCTGCGCAGTTTTCCATATCCTGCATCAACGATGCCGTACGGCCGCAAGCAGAGACGAGAGGAGGTCCCACCAGAGAAGCGCAGGTAGCCGTCGTTTCCTCCGCCGCGCCCTCGTCCGCTCTCTTTCGCATTCATCCGCTCTTCTCCGCTTCAGTTTCCACCAGCTTTAATTTTCTTTGTTGCTTTCGAACGTCGCATGAGCAGGAGTCGGCGTTGCAAGACGCGTATCAGGAAGCCCTCGTTAAAATCGGAAATGGCCGTTTGTCGGAGTCGAGAGAGGCTTTGGAGGAAATGTCCTGCCATTCGTTGTGGAAGGAAGTCCAGGTAGGTTCGCGGCGACTCGTGCTCGTGTCTGACGCCACGCGTCGCGTGGTTTTCTATGACCGGCCAGGAGCTTTGCATGTTAAATTTCGGTATCCGCTCCACTCGTTTTAGACGCGTTCCGGTCGTAGTCTCGTAGTGCGTCAGTGTTGGCTCGACTTGTGGCTTCTCACGGTTTGTCCCAGCCGTCGCTGACAAACGCGTTCGTCTGTGGTTGTCGTCGCAGGCTGAAGCAGGGGGAGGGCTGACGGAGATGCGTCACCTTCAGTAAGTCAAGCCATTCCGTTTCGATTCCTCTCGTTCAGTCTTCTTTCAGTGCGCAGTCACCTAACCACGGCAACGTTTTGTTGTGCCGCTGATACAGATTCCTGGTGTGGAAGAACCTTGGCGACGTCTACGCGAAGCTGGGAAGTGACTATAACGAGTCAGCACTGCGTGCTTACGTCACAGCGACGGAGATCGACGGTCAGGATGCAGTCCTCTGGCACAGGCTCGGATCCATGGCTCTCCGAACCGAAGGTCGAGCTCGCCTGGCGAGATACGCACTGGAACAAGGCCTCACCTGCAGCCCTTACCACTGTACGTTCATGCAGCGTCTACCATCCGATTTAGCCCATGCCACAGTTGCTTCGCACTAGGGGTGTTCTCTTCCACATTACGTCGCTTCATGCCATGTCTGCTGCACTGCACGCACTAATGGCCGTTGCGCTGCCTTTGATGCTGCTTGCGTTGGTTCAACAGGGGGTTGTATGAACAAGCTGCTGGAAGTGCTGGTGTCTCTGGACGACTGGCAGGCAGCACACGAGCTCGCGGCCTACATGCTCCACCTCGCGCCCACCCATGCTCGCGCGCGGCAAGTGCTGGCCATGGCGAACGAGGTGTTCCATCCAGACCCCGTGGCTCTGCAGGCAGCATTGGACGCCCTTGCTGCTCGCGCCTCTGCTGCTGCTGCTGCTGCTGCTGGCGGTGAGAATGATCTGGATGCTGGGCCGTCAGCAGGGGCAACTGCAGGGTTCTCAGCAGAGGTAGCGCAGGAGCAGGAGCCTGAGCAGCAGGGGAGCTCACTGGGGAACAGTGAGGTGTCCGCTCAACACCGACCATTGCTTGAGCTGCGCGGTCGCTCCTGGGCCGAGCTGATCCTGAACACTGTACACGTCTTCCGCACGGTGCAGCAGCGTTCGGTGGAAAGGCGGGGCTTGGAGTACCCTCAGCCGGTGGCTGGCGTGTCTGTGACGGTCGTGGTAGCAGGCAGTCTGCAAGGAGGTGGTGATCCTAGGAACGGCAACGAGGGCCTTATTGAAGAGGGCGTTGAAAGCGGTCGTGAAAGGAGTAATGATGACGAAGAGCCTCAAGAAGAGCAGCAACCCCAAGAGAAGAGCTGCGCTGCTGCAGGGCCTATTTCGTCTGAAAGAGATCGTTCTGTTGATATGGCATCCGTGCATAAATCATGGTCGGTTGAGGCAGCGTCAGAACCCACAGCGTTGCCCCAGCTGTTTCCAGCCTCCCATCCCTGGGACTCGTCTCTGCCTGACGCACCGCTTGACCCTCCCGCTGTCTTGTCTCACCCTGACCCATCCTCCCGTGTCACTGCATTATCCGAACCCAATTCCATTGCTGTGGTTGATCTTTGCATGGAGGACTCGCAGTCGCTTCCCGATGCCACTCCAACGCCTACAGCTGAGCTGCCATCTGCTTCCGGTCCTCCTGATGCCGATGATGCACCACCAGAACAGACACCACCGATTGCAGACTCACCACTGACGCAGACACCACTGACACAGACTCAAGACACACAGACTGCAGCAACTTCTGCCGATGCGACTCCAATGTCCACTCAGGAGTCGCCTGCCGTTACGCCTGCCGCTCTGGCAGAAGCAGCCTCGGGACCAGCGCCTGATGCCTCAGCTGCAGCTGCGTCAGCACCTGCTACCACATCACATGATACTGCCACTGCTGATGCTGTAGCCCCTGATGCTGTAGCGTCTGATGCAGCAGCGCCTGATTCTGCGGCGCCTGCAGTTCCTGCCAAGTCAAGGAAGCGGCACAGGCACCCGTTGTCATTTGTGGGCACGGAGAGGCGCACGCGGCAGCAGATCAAGGAGTTGCAGCTGCAGCAGGCCAAGGGGAAGGAGAGCACCCTGCTGGAGAGCGCCAAGCCCCTCCCACCGAAGAGGCTGCGTGTGTTTGACATTCTGAGCGCTTGCTTCAAGCAGCAATCGCGCTTGATGGGAGCCTGTGATGGAGACGGCTTGGAGGTTGCTGGGAAGAAGGCAAAAGAGGATGGTGTTGCTGAAGGTGGCGTTGGTGCGGATGCTGCTGCTGCTGTTGGTGCCGACAGCGCTCACGTGGGGAGTGGTGGTGGTGGTGCATGTGATGGTTTGAAGATGCTGCACAGGCTGCGGCGCAAGGAGGTGCTGGTGAGGTTTTTCAGCAAGGAGGAGGAGTGGAGCAGCGTGGATGTGGCAGCAGGTGCCAGAGCTGAAGTGGACGCCGGTGTTGGAGCGGGAGCCAGTGCTCTAAAGGGAGTTAAGGCTGCTGATGGTCGTGACCCAGCAGGAGATGCAGAGCGGTTGGGTGTGGTCCAGCAAGTGAGTGCAGCAGAAGTGGAGCAGGTGCAGTCATTCCTCACTGCTCTACCCAAGCGCCTCCCTCTACTCCAGGCAGCCTCTCTTGTCCTGCAGTACTTGGCCTCCCACCTTCCCCTCTGCGCCCTCACGCCATCCCTCCTGGAGTCCCTCCTCTGGCTTGAACGGCAGACAGCTTCGTGGGAAGGCCGCTCGCCCAGTGTTTGGCTGTATCTGGGGGAGCTTTATCTGGCGAGAGAGGTTCAAAGTGATGGTGGCGTGAGCAGAGGGCGGCGAGAGGCAGTGGAAGGGGCGGTGGAGAGGGAGTGCGTGCATTGCCTTGCCATGGCAGAGCAGGGACAGCTGGACGAGGAGGGGGTGAGGTGGGAGGTGGAAGGGGATGCGTGGGGCCGCGTGGGAGGAGGGAGAGCACCACCAGAAGAAGCAGACGGAGAGGCGGAGGAGCCAGGTCAGGGGAAGGGGCAAAGTGGTTTAGGGGGCTGGGAGAAGGTGGGGTTCTGGGTTCGGCTGAGAGCAAGTCAGGGGCAGGTGGCGATGCGGAGGGGCGAGCATGGGAAGGCGATTGAGCTGTTCACGTGGTGCAGGGATGCGCTGGGCAGAGCAGAACAGAGCAGAGGCTGCTCAGATGGCGCTGAGGGGATGTTACTAGCAACGCCTGGGTCGGAAGCAGTAGCAGCCGTAGCCCATGCAGCAGTGGAGGTGCCGCATCTGGCATGTGTATGGGGGCCCAGTGGGGGTATTTCAGTGCAGGGTTTGGATGAGCTGTTGAGTGAGCTGCATGTGGACTGTGTGCTGGCAGGGCTGTCAGGGACAGGAGGGGGCGAGGCAGGGAAAGAGCTCCCCCAGCCGCCACAGCAGCAGCAACAGCTGATCAATATGATGAAGCCTCTGCTGTTGAAGGATGGGGCAGCAGGAATGGCCGGTGGAGCTGGGAGGCAGAAGGGCAGGAGTTACTGTCTCCCGGGCTTGGCCTCTCACAGTTCACCTGCAGATGGTGGTCACGGAGTGAATGCGGACAGCCAGCACAGCGAGCAGAGCGAGCAGAGCTCTGACAAGTGGTTGGAGACGCTCAAGAGACTCGTGACTGCCACACGTGGAATGGTCCAGGAGCAGCCGCTGATACTGGTTTGTTACAAGCACATCCTCGCGCTGCTGTCCAGCAGAATAAGCATGGGGGCGCTGCCCCCTGCACCCGTGAAAGCAACGCCAGTGGCTTCAGCTGCTTTGGCAGGCTCTGCTGCAGCTGCTGGGAAAGCCTCTGCTGCTGTTGGTGGCAAAAGTGATGCTGGTGTGAGCTGTGACGCGGAGCTGATGCACACAGTGCAGGGGCTGAGGGACTTGACGGTCTCCATGGCGCTTGGGACAGGATTGGATGCGCAGGTAAGAAAAGTGAGAGGGAACAGGGAATGGAAGGATGGGTAGGGAGGTTAAACTACGTTGGCAATCTGTGTGGAAAAACTGAATTCCTGTCTCACCTTTTTGTTCTTCCATTGCCATACCCCTAGGTGAACGAGCAGCACTTGATGGAACTCCAGCAAGTCGTGGCAGTGCTTATAGATTTCGCCTTCTACAAGCACCGGCTGTTACAAGAACAGCCAGCGAGCCAGCTGTCAAGGGAGGTGTACCAGCCAGGCTTGGGCGCTGCAGCAGCAAGAAGTGGGATTCTGGCAGCGTGGCAGGGGATGGTGATGGCCTGGCAGGGGTTGCTGGTGGATCTGTGCATGTCCCTCTGCTGCCTGCAGCACTTGCGCGTGTCTGTGAATCCAACAGAAAAGGTATGGGATTCTGGCTGTGTGGCAGGGGATGGTGGTGGCATGGGATGGCTATTGGTGGATCTATGCATGTCCCTCTGCTGCCTGCAGTACTTGCGCGTGTCTGTGAATCCAACAGAAAAGGTATGGGATTCTGGCTGTGTGGCAGGGGATGGTGGTGGCATGGGATGGCTATTGGTGGATCTATGCATGTCCCTCTGCTGCCTGCAGCACTTGCCCTTGTCTGTGAATCCGTCAGATAAGGTGGGCGTTGAAATGAGTGAGGTTGCCGCAATTGAGCCACCAGAAGAGGCTGGTTTTCCTAGTCGTAGATGTTTCCTTCCTGCTAGTGGCCTATAATGCCCATTGCCCATGGCATGGGCATGGCTCCAGGGGAGCCTGCTGAGGTCATGCAAGCTCAATCCTCCTTTCTGTCTCGCCCTCCTTATCAACAGGTAGCCCTGTGTGCCATTGCTCACAGCATCCTTGCTTCTCAAGGCCTCTGCTGTGCCCCCGCCTCTCCCTCCTCCTCCTCCCCATCCGTTAACGTACCCTCCTCGCCCGCACCAAATACCATGTCAGCCTCTCTCACTGCAGCATCATCTTGCCGACAGAGAAGCAACAGCAGCACGGCTGCAGCAGAGGTTGAGCGAGGGGAAGGCACGCCCACAGCAGCTAGAGCGCCAAGTGGTAGAGGAGCGTTTCTTGCCCTCTCTGCCCAGCTGCTGACCAACCTAGAGTCGCTGCTGACCCCCTTGGTGCATGCGGGGGGTAGGAAAGCCAAGGCTGCTGCTGGCGGGGGTAAGGAGCCGAGAGTACGAGGTCTGAAGGGCGGAAGAGGAGGAGACGGTAAGGCGGGAGTCGGTGGAGTAGGTGCTAATGGGGGCAGCAGTGCGAGGGATGTGCAAAGGACCGGTGGCAACGGTGGGGTGTCTGCTGGTGAAAGGGTTGATGGAACTGCTGGTAGAGTTGGCAACACTGCTGGGGTGCGGAGAGCGAGTATGGGAACGAATGGGGAAAGCAGCGGGCAGGGCGAGCAGGTGGAGGATACGCATGCAAAGAGATGCGCGCTTGAGGAAATTGAAGGGGCTATGGATCAATGCTTCTTGTGCTTATACGGGGTACAGCTGAGAGGGGCTGAGGTGGATGTGGGAGGGGAGAGCAGCGGTGGTGCTGCTGGGCAGGAGGCAGCAGCAGCAGGGTTGGTCCAGCATCAGAACGCCTTGGCTGGGGAGTTGAAATCCAAGGACCAGTGTGCTCGGGCGTTGAGGCACATGGCACCGTTCGTTGCCTCCTTTACTGTAAGCGTCACGAGTGTTCCCTTTCTCTATGCACACCTTGCGTCCATCCTTGCTTCTCGATTGTTGGTGGTCTGCGTCACTTCGTTCTGATCCCCTTTCCCCTCCTCTCACGCCCCCTGCTTGTTTCTCTCAGATCGAGCGGCTTGTGAAGCTGGTGCCGCTGCTGACGTCCATCCACTCCCTCTTCCCCTCCCCTCCCCCTGCCATCCTGGCCCATCACTCCGTGGAGCCGTTTTTGGACGATTCACAAATAAACGACTGGGGAATGGTGGGGAGGATTGTGGTGGAGGGGAAGAGGTTGGGAGAGGAGGGGAAGTTTAGAGGTGGGCATACAATGCAGGCGGATGGGGGCACGGAGGAGGGCAGGAGGAGAATGGAGGATAGGGAGGGTGCTTTTGGTGTGAAGGGGAAGGAGTTGACGAGTGATGGAGGAGAGCAGCTCAATCATGCCAGCATGTTAAATACAATGCCAGACCTCTCGTCTTACATACCTGTCCTGCGTCCCCACTCGTTTCTCTCTGAATGGGCCTCCTCCCACCATCCAGCATCCCTCCATGCAGACCCATCCCACGCCATGAACAGTGACACGTACGCTGACGTGTACAATCCCCTCTTTGCCATGCTGGCGCGCATAGAGCCCATCCCCATGGGCCACCACATGCCGCCAGGCTTCTTCCTAGAGCCCAAGGGCCACTCCCATGTGCTGCAAGTCACAAATCCCCTGCTCGCAGACCTCTGCTACCATCCCAGCAACACTGACTCGTGGCTCAAGCTCGCTCTGTTCTATGATGAGGCCTCAGACCTGATGTTGAACGATGGGGCGAAGATGAAGGGGCCTGCGGACTGGCATGCGGAGGAGGGGGTGTTGGGGAGGCTGCAGGGGTACCGGCAGCGGTGCACTCGGTGCTTGGTAGAGGCTATTGCTACTCCTGGTTGCCGGCTTCCCTTTGAAGTGGCCGCGCTAGATGAGAGTGATTCAAGATGGGAGGGGTGGACGGGGCGTGAGGGGAGGAAGGTCTGGGAGGGGCGGAAAGGGAGTGAGGCTTGGGAGGGGTGTGAGGAGCAGAGGAAGAGGGTGGTGAGTGTGTTGGAGCTGCTGGCGTTTGTGGTGTATGACTCGATTCAGAACGTGGTGCCGTCTTATGACAGGCTCAGGCACACGCAAGTCAGGGATGGCCTCTGGCTGAACCGCTGCCGCCTGGCCTTTCAACTCTTCCGAATCCTGCAATCACTCTCGTAAGCTGCTCGCGTTGCTCCTGGACTTGACTCATCCTGCCACTCACCCACCTCTTGCACTTTCAACTCTGTCCGCTCCTTCCCTCATCGCCCCCTGCGCCCTGTTTATTGTCTCCGAGCCATAGTTGTCAACAGCTGTTGTGAGCAGGCAAGTAGACCGTGAGTCCCTCCTCCATGTCTTCTCGTACGTCTGCTGCCACTCCCTACTTCCGCAATCCCCTTGTCACCTCCGTCTCTTATTCCTCCATGTGTCAATACCTCCTATTTGCACCACCCTCTCCCATCTTCTCTCCCCTCTGTCTCAGCCCAAACTGGCAGTACCCGTTCTTTCAGGGCAAGCTCGCTGAGAAGCTTCACCTGCCCGCCTCTCTCGCCCTCCTCTTGATGCGCCGAGCTGTCTCCCTGCGCCCCAATGCTGTGGACACGGCCTACCGCCTGCACGCCTCACGCCTCAAGGCACTTGCAAGGGGCCGTGTGGAAGCTGCGCTGAGTGATGATGACATCAGGGTGCGAGGGTGGTGATGATATGGGGAAGAATGGTGATGATGGCATGAGAATGAATGGTGATGTTGACATGAGGATGGATGGTGATGATGATTAGTGGTGGTGATGCCATGAGATGTTCTAGTACATTGCATGACCTTGCTGCTTCATGTCCCGCCATCATGTTGCTTCTTATAATACTTGATCGTACACTCTCCTATTTGTGGGTCTTTTTGGCGGGGTGCTGCATGGTGTGGGGTGGTGCTCAGGCGCTTGTGTCCAATAACGACACCAAGGATGCACTTGCTAAGCTTTTGCAACCGAATGAAGACGAGGCTAAACTTGGAGGGGGTGTGACTGCAGCTGAGGGGAGCATAGCGAGGGACAATGACCATGTGACAGATAGGGGAGAGAGAAAAAAGGAGGGTGGAGAAGTCGAAGGTGTGGAGGGCAGAGGAGAGGCTCACGAGGAGAAGGGGGTGGGGAGGGGGGTTGCAAAAGGACTGGGAGCTGAGAAGGGAGCAGCGGGCAAAAAGGATGGGAGTGACGAGGAATTCGAGATGGGAAAGGAGGTTGCTGAAAGGCTGGGTGTTGACAAGGAGACAGAAGGTGAGAAGGATGGGAGCGATGAGGTGTTAGAGGTAGAGAGGTCGAAGGAGGGGAAGGAGGGGGCAGCACAGGAGGAAGAGACAGATGAGGGGAAGGATGGAGAAACGGAGGGGGATAAAGAGGGGGGGACACATAAGAGCGGATTGAGACGAAGGCAGGTTGAAAGTGAGGAGGAAGTAGGTTGTGGTGATGGCGATGGTGATGGTGGTGGTGGTGTTGGTGGTGGTGGTGGTGGTGGTGGTGGTGGTGGTGGTGGGGGAAGTGTGGGAGAGGGTGAAGATGACGATGATGATGTGGTGCTGGTTGAACCGACCCAAGTTGAGTCAACCCAGGTGGATTCAACCCAGGACTCCGGCTCTGTCAAGAAACGAAAGGGCGGAGCGTTTTCCAGTGGCGCAGGCAAGAAGCACTTGCGACTGGCAGAAGAAGGGGAGTCGCTGGGACGAGCAGAGCAGGGAGCTGCAGCTAGTGGGGAAGCTTCAAGAGCAGCTGCAGAACCAGCTGTGCAGTCAGAGGAGCGTGGTGCAGGCATAGCTGATCTCAAAAAGGGGAAGCAGCAAGTGGAGGAGGGAGAAAGCGAGCAACTGGAGCAGCAAGGGAAGAGGCAGCATGCTCCTGTGGCTGATATCCAACAGCTGAGGCAGCACTGGCCGTTGGTGTGGCAGCATCTGTTCCAGGAGAGCGAGAAAGGAGTGAGAGAGTGCTTAGAGGGCGACTTCAAGCACTTCCACAGGGGGAGGTACTGCCTGGCAAAGGCGTATCTGAGGCGAGGAGAGCCTGGAGACTTGGAGCGGGCCAAATCAGAGCTTGAGTTTTGCTTCCGGAAGGCCAAAGTGGCGTTTGCGATGAACATGTGGGAGATTTGCATCCACACGAAGCACGCTCCGAGGCCGAAAGGCGGGTCCAAGGGGGCGAGGTTGAGGAGGAAAGTGGTGGGGCTGGCATCCGTGGAGGTGGCTGAGAGCTCTCGGAAGTTCATGACTTGTGTGAGAGTGTACCTGATGATGTACCTCAGGCTCTGCTGCTACACCGGCGATGTTGCTGCCTTGGAAGGGGCGCTTTCCACTCTCAAGACTGACAAAGAGGCAAGTCTCTCTTTCTCCTGGCTGTTCTTGAGTCAGTCGTTCTCCAATTTATGTTTCCAGTTCACTGAGCAGGACACGAAGTACCAAGGCCGTTTCTCACTTGTTCCTTCTCTCCATGCCTTCCCTCCCCTTGTGCCCTTCCCTCAGTTTTCCACAGCACTCGTTGACCTAGTGCCCTTAGCTCTCGCCCTCTTCGTGCTCTCGCTTCATGCCTCCGCGCACCCATCCTCTGAGAAAACCACTCAACAACACACCTCTGCTGCGCTAGGCATTGGCCCCTCAACAAGCGCCATGCCCACAACTGTGCCTGGTCCTGTGCCTGATGTTGCTACATCTGCGATACCGGCTCCTTCTGTTGCTGTTCCACCTGAAAGCTCTGCTGCTGCAGTTGCTGGTGCTGCTGAGGCTGCCGCTTCATGTGCTGCTCCTCCTGCTGCGGTTTCCCCCGGTGCTGATGCTTCTCCCACAGCTGCTACTGTTCACGTACTGGGTCTTGCTGCTCCAAGCGCATCAACTGCCACTGCTGCTGGCGGTGCTGCTGATGGCGCTTCGGCATGTCTACGGCGAGCAGAAGGTGAACCAGGGAATGAGCCGGCAGAAGCTTCAGTAGGGGACAGGCTACTGACGCTTTACCTGGACAACGTTTTTATCTGGGGCGAGGCAGCTGAGGTGCTCCGACTGTCCAGGGCTGCTTATGTTGAGACGGTGACCAGGGGTGGGGAGGATAGAACTGGTGACAAGGACGACGCAGCAGCACAGCACTTGGCTTGGGAGGAGGAGCAGGAGAGGAGCTGGTTTGATATGACAGAATGGTGAGCGCAGCTGCATTTGTCTTATTTGGGAAGCAAAAGCCCGCCCGCACTGCATGTGTCCACACCGCTTCATCCACAGGTGCCACTAAGGTAATTCTTGTGGGGTCTACACTTCGATCCTGAAATCATTCTGTGTGTTCACTCTGCTCTTTGCTCTCTGTTCCCACGCACAGGCACGTGCTGTCAGCTCTCAAGCTGTACGCTCAGAAGGGTGACCTCGACTTTTTTGCGTCAGCTGCTGCCAAAATCAGGTCTCGAGCTCCCTCCCCTTCTCCTCCTCCCTGCCCTCCAGCTCCTTCATGCCCTCTTCCCAAGCATCCAGTTACCCCCTGCAACACCTCCAACCCAACCCAGTCCTGTATAACCCAAACCACACCCAGTCAAGATGCATCGCAACCCTCACTACCGTTCTCCTCGCTTCCACCCTCGGCTATTCACCACACTCCATCAGCATCCTCCTCCCTGCTTCTTCATGATCTCCCCGACCTCCCTTTCCCGTCCTCCACCTCCCATCCCTCCACCCTCCCTTCGTTTTCTCCTTTGAGGCAAGGTGCTGCTTTCGCCCAGCGCATGCACCTTCACACGATGCTGTGCTGGTCGCATGCCCTTCTTGGCGCTCTCTCAGACATCCTCCCCGTCTCTGCCTGGCCTCTTTTCCCCTGGCTGCACCCGCTCTCACTCTCCGACCTGCCGTCTGCCACCCCTCCTCTTCTGTGTAAGGGAGCTGCCGCGACAGAAATGGAAGAGGACAATAACGGGGGGCCAGGATTAGAGAAAGGAGATTGTTTGGAAGGAACTGAAGAAGACTCGGTTGGTGGAAGTGATAGTGAAGATTCGGTACTTAATTTGATATCTGATGATGATGTGGAGGAGGAGGAGGAGGAGGATGAAGTGGATGAGGAGGTCAAAGACGAGGCAAAGGAAGCAGAGGAAGATGGTAAGAGGGGTGGCGAAAAGTGTGTGGACGAAACAGGTATGGGCGGTCAAGTATGTGAAGGTGGAGAGGGAAAGGAAGGAGTGGATCAACCATCCACACCAGCAACAGTAGGTGTGGACACAGGAGCAGCAGGGCCTGTCCCAGTAATGACGAGGGGAGGGCTCAGAGTTACGATACCACTGCTGCAAGGCCGAATTCCTATGCAACCAGCACCGTATCCTTCCTCTGCCTCTGATGCCACTGCTCCGCTCCACAACTTCATGCAATCACGATCGCCTCTGGCTCCTCCTTCCAGCACTAGCACAAAGGGCTTTGGCGCAATCTCAGCCACCGGTGCACCCGCTGCTGGGTCTGCTGCCGCGTCCCTCCCTTCCACTCCCTCTTGTGCTCCTTCTTTTCCAGGCAACCCCATCTGCACCATTTCCTCTCTCTCCCCGTTCTCTGCTGGGCCCCCGTCCTCCCCATTCCCCTCACTGACTCCCCCTCGTGTCAATCTGCTTCTTCTTAAAGCCAAGGCAAGTGAAAGCGATGTGGATCGAGCACTAGCCCTGTTGCGGTCAGCCCAGGCCTTAGAGCGGGAGGCCTCTGGGGAGCTTCCCTTTGGCAAAGTTCTAGGGGGAGGTAAGAAGGGGGGAGTGAGTGGTGGGGGAGGAGCGTTGGGTATGAAGCGGATGAAAGCTGCTGCGAGAGAAGGTGCGGGGTCTGGCGTGAGAGCGGAGGTGCTGGGGAGGAGTGTGGGAGGAGGGGGAGGCGGGGAGGCAGGACAGGGAATGCAAGTTACTGGTACGAGTTTTGTTGAAAACAGGAAGGCAGGTGAAGTAGTGGAGCATTTGGGAGGGGGGGCAGTGCCACAGGAAGGAAGGTGCAAGGAGGAAGAGGAGGTGGAGGAATGGAGAACGAGGCTGCATGGTTTGAGCACCCAGTTGCTGGAAGTGGCTTATGCTCTGGTGCATGGCCGGTCCCTGGCCGCTCTTGCTGCTGCTGAACAGGCGCAGGCACAGATGAAAGTGCAGGCGGAGGAACAGGCACGGGCAGAGGAGCTGGCAGAAGGGGGGAAGCAGTCGCAAGGAGGGACAGCCTTGAACGGAGAGGAATCTGAGGGTCAACAAGCTCTGGTGCCGGGCACAGAAACCGAGGCGAAGGTCACCACAGCAACAGCACCGAAGTCACCTGCAGCAGCTGGTTCATCAGCAGCTGTTTCTGCAGCTGTTGTCACATCCGCATGTAGCCCTGCAAGGCGGATGGAGCAGCGTCCTTCACCTTGCAGAGTGCGTTCCACCGATGCACAAGCTCTTTTTGCAACCGCTGCATCGCCATCTGCAGCTGTCTCCCGTGATGCTCCTCCCCCTGCTGTTCCAGCCCAGACTGCTCCTGCTTCTGCTGCTGCTGCTGCTTCTCCATCCCGTTCTCTTGTCCCGGATGCTGTGGAGGAGCGCCTCCCCGCTCCCTCTCAACCCTCAAAGCCTCCCTCCTGCTCGCCCACGCCTGCTGCACCTATCCTCAAGCCTCCGCTTGCTCGCCTCCCCAAGCTGGCACGGCGCTTTCAGGCTGGCTTGAAGAGAAAGCAGACAGAAGGGGAGGAAGTCGGGCGGATTATGTGTTCAGAAAGTCACAGCATCGTGTGGAGTGGAGACGGGGTGAATGAAGCAGACAAGAGGAGAGTAGGAGCTGATGAGGCAGCGGCAGCGACAGAAGCATCAACAGGAGCAGCGGCAGAAGCAGCAGTGTATGAAGGAGTAGTGAACGGTTGGACGGGGTGCAGCCGCACAGACGGAGTCAGATTTGCACCGAGCGCTGCCATCACTGGTTCATCTGCTAAGGGGAAGCAGAAGGAGGATAGAAATGAAAAACGAGTTAGCTTTGGGAAGGGCCGTAAGGTGGTGGATGGAAGAGGTGTGGGCTGTGAGAGGGTGGATGTGGAGGGAGGTGAATGGCAGGTGCGTGGGGTGGAGGATGAGGTGCAAGAGGAGGGGAAAGAAAGTGATAACGTGGTTCCGCAGCAGAATGTGCGGCTGGAGAAGAGGCGTCAGCATCGGTTGAAGGAGTTGGGAGGAGCGCATGGAAAGGAAGAGGATGGGGATGAGGAGGCGGAAGAGGATGGTAAGGATGCAGGGGGTGGGAATAAGGGAGATGAGAAACAAGGTGCGGAGCATTGTAAGAGCAGTTCCGGTGGGCGTAGAGATGGTGGAGAGATTGTAAGAAAAAGAAAAGCAGGTGGAGCAGTAGATGGTAAGGCGGCACCTTTGCGCCAGGGGAGCAGGCCGGCATTATCACTGCAGAATGACGCAGGAAAGGTCGTCCCTGAGGGAAAGAAGCAGCTCGCGGCTGTGGCTACGTCGGCCCAGGAAGCATCCCCATCCACTGGCCCTTCTTTGTCAAGGTCTGTCAAACCCACATCCAAGCCCTCCGTCAAGCCTCTTGCCAGGGCTCCCGCCAAGCCTCCTTCCATGGCTGCAGTCAAAGCTGGCCTTCAACCTGTTCTCAAGACGAAGCAGACTCAAAAAACAGCCTCAACTCCTGCTGCTCCATCAATTCATGAGAGTCTATCGATGTCCCATTCGGCTCTTCAAATGCATCAAGGCACTCCATCAACTTCTCATCAAGGACCCAACAGAGGAGCCAGGCAGGGGACGTCTGTGCAGAAGAAGGCAGTAATGGCAGTGGCTGGGGCTGTGTGCAAAGACACGGGTGGGAATTCTGGGAAGCTGGGAGGACAGGAGGCGGGAACGAGTGGGGTGGTAAGGAAATCTGCTGGAGGAGGCGAGCAGACAGCAGGTGTCAGTGTTAGTGGCGAGGTTGGAGCAAAAAGTATGAGAGCAGTGCTGAAAAGGAAAAGAGCAGTGGTTGTTGCTGATGAGAGTGCTCGACGTATTGCTGCCCCAGATGTGTCTGCTGATGCTGCTGTCGGTGGTGCTGACGAGGATGCACCTGCACCGACACCAGCAACAATAGCAGCAGCAGCCACAGTAGCCACAGCAGCAGCAGCACGACCAGCAGCAGTGGCAGGGCCAGACGTTGTCGATGCAAAGGCCAGTCAAGCCAAGAAGGCAACAGCGAACAGGGTGGCTCAGCGGCGGCAAAGTGCACCGCCAGCTTTAGCACATGCACAATTCGAGGCACCACCTGCTGTGGTCAAGGAAGTCAAAGTAGTCATACCAGTCAAGTCTGCAATAGCAGTTAAAAAAAGGAATGTGGCTGTAGAGGGGACGATTTCTGACAGGACAGGGACAGTGGGGGCTGCATCAGTAGGAAAGGGTGTTGGAAGAGTGGGTACAAGCAATTTGCCAGCATCAGGACACGGGTCCACAGGAAAAGGATCAGCCAAGCTCCTTGCCAGAAAAACGGCTGCTGCGAAAAGAGAGCCGATCACAAACACACCTGAAGAGACCGATGCCAGATCAGGCCAGGGTGTACAGGCAGCTGCAGCTAAAGTTGCTTTGTCTGGTCCGGGCAAAGGAGCTGCAGGCTCAGTGGCTATGGGTGGAACGGGTATAGGGCCTGTGAAAAAAAGGAAGCTTGGGGAGGGCAAAGACAGAGGCTCAGTTGTGAAGCTGCTAGAGCAGCAGATGGAAGGAGTAGCAGCACAGCGGGAGGGTACGGCACCCGCTTTTAAAGCTGGAGTTTCTCAAGCAACGCTAGCAGATGCTGCTAATCCATCTGATCCAGGAGTCGCCACTGGTGCTGCATCTGCTGTTGGAGTGGGAGGAAGAGGGCAGAAGAAAGGAGTGAATCCGGGTGGGAAGGGTTCACTCAAAGTTGTTCAAATTGGTGCTCCACGAAATATTCCGAAACTGAAGCTGGGGAGTTCAGCACCTAAAGGTGGGACAAAGGCTGCTGCAGTAACAGTGGGACCAGTTTCAGTGGACAAAGCGGGATCAGGCAGGTCCAACCAAGTCAGTCAAAAAGGCATCTCCAAGAAAGGTGTGAAGGGCAAAACGTTGGCCAATTCTGGTGCTGCTCAAATGGAAGGTGGTGTGCCTGGTGTCACTGATGAAGTTGGCACATGCACGGATGTCACAGGGGAAGCCACGGGTGAGAAATGCACACAGGATCCTGCACCGCAAGGCAAAGCCACTTCAGCAACCATTGGCAGTCCTGGTGGTACGAAGGTGCCTGCAACTCAAAGAAAAAAGCAGCCCCTGGTGATAAAGATTCAGAAGCCAAGGCATGCTGTAGCTGTTGAAGGGAGCTCTTTGAGCAAAGACCATGATCTGGAGTGATGATCACGGAAATGATTGACGTCACTGGCTGTTTGAATGTGACGTTGCATCATGTTTGTTGTAAGAATGTTTGAATCCAATATACCAGGACATCTGTAGCCTCAGCGGTCTTTCAACTTGTTGGGGACAAGAAGTATGTATGTTATTTTTTCAATATACCTGTCAGTTCCAATACACAGTCATGTCAGCTTTTAAACATTGCCACTACCAACTCATAGTCTTCTCATAACCAAGGTCCACCAACAGAGACCCCAGCTTCTCACGGATGTAGCCCTTGTTTTGCTTTGTCAAATGATTTTTCCAATCTCCTGGTGTGCCCTTCCTGAAGTGATCCTTCCCTCTGTCGTCTGCAGAAAGCACCCCTTTTGCAACAGAGCGGTAAGCTGCACTTTCCTGACCAACTTTCACTGCACTTTGGACGAAGATCTTCAGAAGAAGGCTGTTATTCAATCCATACCTGAAAGAAGTTGCACAATGAGACTCAAAGTGCATAAAACGTCAAGGCCTTACATAAAACGTCAAAGCCTTACCAAGCTCCAATAGAGGCAAAAGCCGAGCCTATCCTTCTTTGCTCTTGGTACCAAATGTCTTCATAGCGTACCAATGTAAACCGAGAATCTCTGACTCTCAGAAAGTCTTTCAAAACAGTTGCATATGCACCTGCGTCAGACATCAATGGTGGTTATTCGTTGTTAACATTAGTATATGGACACTGATTCCGGACTCACCTTGTGTGTCGTTCCTCCAAGTGCTTCCAGTGATCATGTCAACTTCCATATTGATCCCAGCGGATTTGCTCACGTTGTTCAGCATCTGACCAAGGCATGCTTGAACTTCTCCTACGCTTAGAAACTTATTCATCTGATTGCTTCGTGAGGTGCTCACCTGCTGATAGGATTTCCCTCCATACTCGCTGCGTGGCTCATGCACCCAGGGTTCTTGTGTTGTTTTGTGGTAGAAATATCCACTGACCACAACATCCCTGGGATCTCGGACGGTCATAATGGCCTTGTATTTTTTGTCACCCAGAAGTTTAAGGGAGCCTAGAGCCGCGTTGTTGATCTGAAAGGATTGGTACAAACGTTAGAGAGCTGTATTACCTTCTGTGTCCAAGCGTAACGGGCATGATCCGGACCTGGCATATCTTGGATTCTGAATCGATGCAGCTTTGAATGTCGCCTTTGACGAATTTCATATTAGTCCGCATTCCGAAAATGCTGAAGATTCGAGAGAACCAAGCAGTGCCTGTACCGTAACGAGCTTAGTTGTGGAACCAGTTTGATTGTTTGCAAGCGTCTCTTACCTGTTTTGTGATGAGCCAAGTGAAGCATCACATAATCATTCTGGCTTCCAAGGTCGTGAACATACTTCTTGGTTGCAGCGTCTGTCTGATACTTCAATGTATGCCTCTGAATCCAATTCAAATCCGCGTACTTAACGTTGAGGTAAAAAGCCTTGGCTCTTCTGAACGTTACATTCTTCGTTGGAGTCGGAAGGGTCTCAGGCTGCTGAATGGCTGTGACTTTATCAGTAATTGGCAATCTTACGAGGACGAGGGTGCACGCAAATCCTGCAACCATGGCAAATAACATTGACCATAGAAGGCTGCACTCTTGTTTCTTCAACGGCGAAACAGAGTGCAAAAGCTGGCTTTGCAGAGTCATTGTGGGGAGGTTGACGGGTTCAACGCCTGAACATCGACACTAGGAAAATGTAGAGCTATCTTCATCACAATCGAAAATATACGGCAGAGCACTCGGCCTGGCAGCATCGCGGTTTTGCCGAGAGCACTCGGCCTGGCAGCATCGCGATGCTGCCAGGCCGAGTGCTCTGCTCTCGGTTTTGCCGAGGAGGGCTCTGCTACTACACGTTGTTTAGCTTTAGCATGTACAGTAGTAAATAGTGTTGATTTCTGCTAACAGAACTTTCACACTGAATAATAATGTGCTGATTATAAGGGAATTATTTTCTTGAAATATTGCTTGATAATAGTTCACACCAGTTTACCTCACTCTAAATCCTGTGATCCTTCCTGCCCTGTTCCTCTCACCAAGCAAGGTAACAGGTTTTTGTTTGATTGGGTTCACTACAATACAGAGGCTAATCTGCATTCCAATCCAACACGTTGCAATTCCAAGGTCATCTCTACGCCTAGTGCTTCAACTCACTCAACTTAAAATGTGGAACACAGTTCAATTTGGTTGTAACACGATATTTCCGGAGATCTTGGTTCCTGTCGACACCAAGGCAAAAGCATAAGAATCCACGAGTTAAGAACCCATCAGCCTTGGCTTGGACCTACAATACCACAAGCTTGACACAAGCTCTGCGTCTCACACCCGCCCTGCTAGACAAACCCCTCTAACAAGACTCTCCATGGCATAACTCCCTCTCAAGCATTCCCCCTCCCGCTTCCTTTCCCACCCCCTCGCTTCCTTGTCCTCCTCACATCTCTTCTGTCACATTTTCTTGCGAAGAATTTCTCAAGAGCATTACACACCCCCCCTTCCCCCCGCCCCCCTTCCCCCTCTCCCCCCCCCCCCCCCCCCCCCCCCCCCCCCCCCCCCCCCCCGTCGGTGCACACTGGACGTTCGGTAGCTCAACCTTCAAACCCCCAATAACCTTTCCCCTACTATCCCACCACTTTATCCTTCCCCCTCCCTCCTCTCCCTCTCAAGCGCATACAAACCCCTACGTGAATACCCTCCCACCACCATGCTCACTAGCATGTGCCTGAGCATGTGTCCCAATGAATATAAGTGACAGATAGTGCACACACCTCATGAGTTGGCTTCATCTTCATCCTCAATCTTTGGTGCTAGATAAAATCGAAGGTAGCCCATGTCGGCAATGGCATATTCACAAACGATCGGAAGGTCCTTGGAGATGCTCAGTCTGACAACACCAGACAGTGGAGTCGCCTTGGTGAAGGAATTTAGGTACCGCAATGCAAATGTAAGTGAAACGGGCTCCCTCATATCAATGACCGTTTCATCATCAGGCTGCAAAATCATACGGCAGATATGCAGAACGTTAAGACAGGAGCCCACAGAGGAGTTCATGAAGTGCACAGTGGGCATGAACATTAAGACAGGAGTGGGCATGTCAATTGCTCACCTCATCCACATTCAAATTTTGTCTGCAGACTATATTGGCGTTACCAATGTCGCCTGATGTAGCGAACTTTATACCCTCTTTAGTCACACTTATAATTACTGCACCAAGAATATAAAGTGGACGTACGAATTAGGAGCTCAATGAAACAAGTTGGGTGTTGAAGACAGGAAACAGGCACCTTTCGAATCAGAATCATCGCCGCACATAAACAGCAAAACAAGAACATCCCTCACCTGTGTCGCCAATGGAGCTGAGGTCTTTGCAAATGCGGAGGAACTCCCCTGCTGGCATCTTGATATTGGCATCGTACTCCTCGTCGGGAATGCCGAGATGCTCGCTGTCAATGTCCATAAGCTTCATCTCGAAATCAGATATCTTGTCTTGCTCTGGTAAACAACACATCATTTCCAGCCATCAGAATCAACAATCATTCCACCGAGCAACCCATCGATTGTCAATTATAGATTCGCATCCAAGGTACTATCGTTCCACGTGTTGACCTCGACAGTCTACTTTGGACCCTGCTTGTTGGAAAGGGAGAAGCTTACTTGGGCTTTCGAACATGAAGGTGACTGTGTCGCCGTCGTCTTCAGCCTTCACTGTGATGATGTCATCATTGCCTGCACATTTCAGCATCTTGGCCATGTTCACCAGATTCATCCCCAATGTGAGATTCCTGCAGCACAACAGTTGCTAAACGTCAGCTCATACACCCTCTCTGTGGCTAATATGGACGCTAATATCCACGTTTGAACAATGAGAAACGCCTATCCTCACCTGTCGCATCGGTAGTGTTCAAACCCATCTGCTCGCAAGAGAAGCGCAACGAGTGCAACGTGGCTAGAATCCATGGCTTGGAGTGAGAAGCCAGTGGAGGAGCAGTCGAAGTTAGCATCAGTGACGAGGTCTTTTATCGCATCAAGAAGCTTCTTTAACACGCTTCCTTGAACTAGACGCGCCTCAAACATCGTGCTTAGTAGCTGAGGAGCTACTTAGAAAAAGGTCAAGGGAGAACTGGAGGGTAACGACCAATAAGTGCGAAACCTACGAAGATTCGAATCAACGACAAGCTTCGCTCTTATTTGTCTTGCGGAGACTTATGGGCGACCAACGTTCTACACGGGCTGGGTCTGAATGAACGAAAGGTTATGGGATGGCAGAAAGAAGGACGCGGGGAAAGCCTGATCTGAGTCCTGTCCTTTGACGAATTTCAAGTTGAAATTTCAAAATGGAAACCTCGTAGCGGGTACATTATCACGGTTAGGCATTTTCTATAGTTGCTTCATTCTTAAACTTTCATTCTCTATCTTCAACATATTTTTTTGTGTTGATATTATACAGGTGTATTTCAACTTGAGCCACTCGAATATGCAGTAACATTCAGGTTGTTGAATGCTTTTCCCTACGCTTGTAGGGATTCATGCGCTTCTTAAGCATCTGTCGGCAAAAACGGCAGAAATCATGGGCGCCGAACTTTTCTTTGCGCAAGAACCAAGCCGAAAAGGCTCTAATAGGTGTATTCGAACTTGAGCCACTCGAATATGCAGTAACATTCAGGTTGTTGGAAGCTTTTCCCTACGCTTGTAGGGTTTCATGCGCTTCTTAAGCATCTGTCGGAAAAAACGGCCGAAATCATAGGCGCCGAACTTTTCTTTGCACAAGAACCAATAGGTGTATTCAAACTTGAGCCACTCGAACATGCAGCAACATTCAGGTTGTTGGATGCCTTTCCCTACGCGTTTCGGGATTCATGCGCCTCTTAAGCATCTGTCGGAAAAAACTGCCGAAATCATAGGCGCCGAACTTTTCTTTGCGCAAGAACCAAGTCGAAACTGTCAGTCGCACGCTACTCCTCCCCTGCCACTGCTGCCCTTAGCCGCCTCATGCTGCCGTACCTGTTCCCTACCTCCCCTTCCTCCGGGGCCTGCCCCTACCTGTGTTCCCTGCGTCGAGGGGCGGCAGCGCGCCGCTCCTCACTCCTCCGAGTTTCCGCCGACAGAGGCTCCGCTGCAGACTCTTCACATGGACCTGTGGGGCCCAGCCCGCGTCCGTGGACAGGGTCACGAGCGTTACTTCCTCTTGGTGGTTGACGACTACTCGCGTTACACCGCAGTCTTCTCCTTGCGCACCAAGGGTGAGGTCACTGGGGTGTTGATCGACTGGATCCGCGCTGCTCGTCTCCAGCTCAGAGAGAGTTTCGGCTCGGACTTTCCTGTTCTGCGTCTGCACTCTGACAGAGGTGGAGAGTCCTCCGACCCTCTGGGAGCCTTCTGTCGTGCGAGGGGCATCCGCCAGACGTTCACGCTTCCGGCCTCTCCACATCAAAATGGGATTGCTGAGCACGCAGCAAGCAATGGCACATAGCGCATAGAAACGCGCCGCATTGGCATGGTCATGGACGTCGCTCGTACATCCATGATCCATGTGGCCGTTCGCGGTTCGGTACGCGGCGCAGCAGATCAACCTTCAGCCCCGTGTCTCCTTGCCGGAGACCTCCCCCACCCTGTGGTGGACGGGGAAGGTTGGCGATGCGTCTGCGTTCCGTGTCTGGGGATCTCGGGCTTTCGTCCGCGACTTGTCTGCGGACAAGCTGTCCTCCCGTGCTGTTCCCTGCGTCTTCCTTGGCTTCCCCCCCTGACGCGCCTGGTTGGCAGTTTTACCACCCCACCTCGCGCCGTGTTCTGTCCTCTCAGGACGTCACATTTGACGAGTCGGTTCCGTACTACCGTCTCTTCCCCTACCGCACTGCCCCCCTCCCCCCCCCCGCCGCTCTTCCTTGCGCCAGGTTCCCCTCCGGTAGACCCCCTCCCCCCTCAGGGCCCTGCCCCCTCAGGTGTGTCCCAGGTAGACGCAGTCGAGCCTGTCGAGGTAGCTGTTGACTCTGGTGCTGCTAGGGGTGCTGAGCCTGCGGGTGCCGTGTCTCGGGGTGCTGAGCCTGAGCGTGCGGAGCCTGGGGGTGCTGAGTCTGGGGGTGCTGAGCCTGGGGGTGCTGAGACTGGGGGTGCTGAGCCTGGGGTTGCTGAGTCTGGGGGTGCGGAGCCTGAGTGTGCTGGACCTACTCGTGTGGAGCTTGGTGGTGCTGGGCCTGGAGGTCCTTCGAGTGCTTCGTCCCGGCGGGAGCTGCCCTCACCCCAGGAGCTGCGTGAGTGGTTTGCTCGTCGCTGGAGTCGTGCTGCTGGAGCTGGTGGTGCTACCGGTGCTGGAGGTTCTGCGGTTGCTGGAGGTCCTGGAGCCACGGGTCCCGGAGGTGCTCGTACCGGCGGTACTGGAGCTGCCGGGCCTGGTGGTACTGCTGGTGCTGGAGCTGGAGGTGCTGCTGGCGTAGGCGCTGCTGGAGGTGCTGCTGGAGCTGGAACTGCTGGAGGTGTTGACGCTGGAGGTGCTTCTGGAGCTGGTGCTTCTGCGGGTGCTGGAGTTGGCGCTGCTGGCGCTACTAGGGGTGCTGCTGGAGTTGCCGCTGCCGGGGGTGCTACTGGAGCTGGTGGAGCTGCTGACGCTGGTGCTGACGCTGGGGGTGCTGGTGCTGTCCCTGCTGGTCCTGGAGGCACTGCGTGGCCGCGACCGTACTTCGTTCCGCTCCTTGAGCAGGTTCTTGGTCTCCCGCCTTCTACTAGTCCTGCTCCTTCCTTAGAGTATCCACCGCCTGTCCAGTCCGAGTCACAGTTACAGCTCGCCTCCCCACTGCCTGCTCCTCCTCCCTACACTGGTCCTACGGGAGGTCTTGCTGAGCGTCGTGAGCCTGAGTCTCGTCCTGCGTCGCCTGTTCGTGCTGCTAGCACTGGTCGTCGTGTTCCGCGTCAGCGTCCTCCTGCGGTCCCAAGCACACACCAGATGGCACTGCGTCCTTCCACTGCTCCTTTGCGTGCCCCCTTACCGTCTCTTCCAGAGTCCTCTCTTCCTGCTCTTGCTGACCCGGAGTCTGACTCCGTTCGTGCGGCCAGTCCTACTGTCATGCGTCTCCTGGCTACTGCTGTCACTGACCCTTCGTTTGAGTCCACTGCTGCGTCTTCCTTAGTTGCTGAGCTGGTCGACTTCGCTGCTCACTGTCGTCTAGACTACGCTGCTAGTCTTGTTGCTGAGTCTGAGTCTGTTTGTCCTCCGTCCGTCGGGGGTGAGTGTGCTCTTGGCACGGACGTCCTTGAGGACAGGCAGGAGGAGTTCCAGTGCTTTGCTGCTGCTTTACCCCATCTCGTGTCCATGCTGCTTGCCCCTGAGGGAGACCCGGATGCACCAGACATCCCGACTCCGCGCTCTTACGCGGAGGCGGTAGAGGGTCCCTACTCCTCTCAGTGGCAGGCAGCCATGGACGCAGAGATGGCTTCCTGGAAGTCCACAGGCACCTACGTCGACGAGGTTCCCCCACCTGGGGCGAACATCGTCAGTGGCATGTGGATTTACAGGGTGAAGCGGCCGCCGGGTTCTCCGCCTGTCTTCAAGGCGCGTTACGTGGCTCGAGGCTTTAGTCAGCGGCAGGGAGTTGACTACTTCCAGACCTTCTCCCCTACCCCGAAGATGACCACTCTTCGGGTGCTGCTGCACATAGCCGCTCAGCGTGACTACAAGCTTCACTCACTTGACTTCAGCACTACTTTCCTACAGGGCAGCCTGCGCGAGGAGATCTGGCTGCGCCGCCCTCCTGGCTTCACTGGGTCGTTTCCTCCTGGTACCCAGTGGAGCCTCCGGCGGCCAGTCTACGGTCTCCGCCAGGCTCCCCGCGAGTGGCACGACACACTGAGGACTACGCTTGCGGCTCTTGGGTTTGCTCCTTCTACTGCTGACCCGTCGCTGTTTCTACGCATCGACACCTCGCTGCCGCCGTTCTACATCCTCGTGTACGTCGACGACTTGGTCTTTGCCACTGCTGACACTGCTGGACTCGCCCACGTGAAGTCGGAGCTGCAGAAGAGACACACGTGCACAGACCTGGGTGAGCTGCGCAGCTATCTTGGCTTGCAGATCACCCGGAACAGAGCACGGCGCACCATTACCTTGACTCAGTCACACATGGTGCAGCAGGTCCTTCAGCGCTTCAACTTTACGTACTCCTCGCCTCAGGCCACTCCTCTGTCTACGCGCCACTCGCTCTCAGCTCTGCCTTCGGATGAGTCCGTAGAGCCGAGTGGCCCGTACCCAGAGCTTGTTGGCTGCCTCATGTACCTGATGACCTGCACTCGTCCTGACCTTGCATACCCTCTTAGCATCTTGGCACGCTATGTTGCTCCTGGGAAACACCGACCAGAGCACATGGCTGCAGCGAAGAGGGTGTTGCGCTACTTGTGCAGTACGTCGGGCATGGGGCTTGTGCTTGGAGGGCAGAGTCCAGTGGTCCTCACTGGTCACGCAGACGCTTCTTGGGCTGAAGACTTGGCTACGCAGCGGTCGTCATAGGGTTTCACCTTCAGCCTTGGTTCCGGCTCTGTTTCGTGGCGGTCTACCCGCTCGTCTTCTGTTCTCGGCTCCAGCTTTGAGGCCGAGATCTACGCAGGAGCCATGGCTGCTTAGGATTTACGCTTGCTCACCTACCTGCTGACCGACCTGGGAGAGCCGCCTCGTTCTCCTCCAGTTCTGTACGTAGACAACAAGGCCATGCTGGCCTTGTGTCGGGAGCACAGACTGGAGCACAGAACGAAGCACAT